TGAAAATGTATATAATTATTTGTATATTTCTTTTTTTAGTAAAATTTATAGTATTATTCTGCACCACTATTAATTACGGAAGAGGATTAGGGCCACTGAAAAAAAGAAAAAGTTAACTGATTTTAAAATTTGAATTCAGTTTAGTATGGGAAAAAAGTCAGAATTCTGACTTTAATCTCAGAATTCTGACTTTTTTCTCAGAATTTTGGATCTTAATGTAGATGAGATGTGGAGATGAGATGTGGAGCACTTAGCTTCACTGACAAAGATGTGAGTTGTTTGAGGTGGCCAGTGACACATAGGTGAAAAATGACGGAATTAGGCAACTTTTTACGTTCCCGAGGGGTCCCCTCATTAATGGAGGAGCAGAATGTCATTAAAACAAGAGAGCTAGTCTCTAAAACAGACATGGCTATGGCTGGATGCTAACATGTTTGTTATCTGCCAGAAGTCTGAGAATAAGGTCAGAATTCTGAGAAAAAAAGTCAGAATTCTGAGAAAAAAGTCAGAATTCTGAGATTAAAGTCAAAATTCCGAGATTAAAGTCAGAATCCTGAGAAAAAAGTCAGAATTCTGAGATTAAAGTCAGAATTCTGACTTTTTTCCCATACTAAACTGAAATAAAATTAAAAAAATCAGTTAACTTTTTTTTTTTCCAGTGGCCCTAATCCAATCATCGTAATTAATGTTCTGTGGTTGTATTATTTATGAAAATATAAACTTAGTAAACAAAAAAAAAATGCTAATTTCAAATTTCAATGTACATCACTTGCAAGTGCCAAAAATTGACCTTAAGGTTCTAAGACAACCACTAGTTCCAGGAAATTATAGCCAGAGTAACTTTGACAATTTTAAAATAAACCTTTCATATAAAACTTTATTTGTTAGAATGGTCTCACTTACCATTCTAAACTGAATGATAAGCATTTTAAATTTAGGGAATATAGAACTAGAAAATATAGAACTGGTAGTAGTGGATTCTGGGAATGAGACCAAAATCAAATTGGCGCTGTAAATTACTTATCCGTATGATTGTGCAGAATAATTTAAAACAAAATTCACAACAGAACAAACCATGCAGCTATTTTGCATAAATAGAACTTTATTCTCAGATGGACAAAACTATTTTACAGTGTGCAACTTTACATCAGGTAAATCTGACCTTTCCAACCTCATCTTTAAAGCAGTACTAAAATAACTTTCAGTTTTGGTCGATTTTGACTCCCCCAGTAGACAAAAGCTGTACTATTTTGCCTGAAGGAAGACCTCATTTCCCATGAGGACCAGTGTGGTAAAGACCATAGCGGTACAAATCCTGATCTCCTGGTCACCTGCAGTTGGATTGAACTGCATTTCTGATTCCTGTGGCTGTGTAAGATAAATAGAGATGAGGTAATGTATCCAACTATGGCGAAACAATGTCATAAGATGATAGTGAAAATAAGAAACGCCACCCAACTCATCACGACACAGAGCTTTGAAACAGACAAATATAATGTCATGTTTGATCATTCTCAGTATATAGAACCCAGCAGGAAGGTGTCGCATTGCCTGAATATCAACCCTGCACAATTTGCACTAATATACAGGTCATTTCTCCATATGCATACTTGTGTATTCTCATGTGCTTGTGAAACTTCATCATCCCCAGGCCTGTTCTAATTGACAAGAACACAAGCCCGAACATCCACCCTTATCCCTTTATAGGGCACTATATAGTGGTTACGCCTTTTTAGATGATTGTCCAGTGGATAAAAAAGTAGTAGACTCAAAATTTCCCACAATGCACCTTGAAAAGTAGGGATCATTGTCATACCCGATCCGTCCTGCGTATGCTCGGAAAGATATATATCCAGGTTTCCATACATAATGTAATTATGGTACTAAAATCACTTAATTCTATACTTACTCACTAAAGAATGCTAATACATATATATTTTTTTAAAAGTATTCGGACTTTTCTGATACATTTTTTATGCTTTTTACATTTTATCTGTTAAACAGCTTTTCTGACGTCATCAGACATGCTTAGACCAGTTTCGCCAAAATATGATTAAACCGTGTTTATCCACATTTTAGTTGTTTCTTTCTTTAGATTGCATACTATATACAATAATGTTAACATTAAAGGAAAACATAAAACTCAAAAAGACCAGATTTTTGTTCAAATCCAAAAGCCAAAAAAGTTAGCTCCTGGAAGTAGCGTAGGATCCCATTTCTGGTGCAGATCAGGTAGAGACGACGGATAAAACAAAAAAAACGATTTTAAGGTATTTATTTTCTCAGTAAAAAACATAATTAACCTTTAAAACATTATATTTTAGTATATTTACTATTTTTGGGGAGGGAAAAATGTAAGATAGGTCTTTTTAACAAAATAAAATCGAGGGTGACCTGGATGTTTATCTGGATGCATAAATGAGCTGATAGAGTATGCGCAGGACGGATCGTGCTTCCGGGACGTGGCAATCATCCATGGTCACTAGCAAGCAGATATATCCCAGAATGCCTTGCAAGAAGAGCTCTTCTTGCATTGCATCATGGGATTTGTTCTCCCAGTGACCCGCCGTCGCCATAGGCTGCTGCAACCCAACAGCGGCGGCAAATAACAAAGAGGGCGTAGGCACTGTGCAGAGAGGCGGAGTCATGTGATCAGCAGGGAGTGGAAAAATAGTGATCATATGTCCGAATAGTCAGTTAACTGAGTTCACTATAAAGCCCAATATATAGTCCCCGCTTTATATACAGTGCTTGAGGAAATTAGGGGTTAGTGTGGACATTTGGACACAACCTGAGTCGCTTTGATCTCCGTCTTTATAAAGAATGGAGAAAGTATGTATGGTGTCATTCTACTAGTTGGAAGTAGACGTAAAACCACAAAAGATATGAAAATATGTTATGAAGGCTGAAAAGTTATTTAGTCTCTTACCACCATGATATAGATGAAAATGGAAATAAAATCTCCCAACAGTCTTCATCATTTAGAACTTCAATGCAAACACATTTCTTTAATTTGCAACTTTTACTTTAGAGTTATTTTATTAGATAAATATTTGTAAATACAAAGCTAAATTAACTCAAAAAAAAAAAAAGTTTTAATAAAAGAAAACTTTTTCAGTATATAAACTGCAAGCACATTCACATTTGAATCAGCATAGCTGTGCTAAAACTGCAACTAGACATTCATTTGTTCACTTTAAGCCGCAGGTACAACTCATGCAAATTAAAAAGCATGGTGTTTTCATGTGAAGGAGGAACTCTGTGATATTATATTGTTGAAAGAGATTCAGAGGGAAATATTTCAGTGCAACACAGACGACAGGAAAAGAACAGAAACTTTTCAGATCCTTTGACGTTTTCCGCATATCTTTCACTCGATCCAATCAAACCATCTAAACATACTTTACAGCGCAGTGAAACCCAGTGGAGCCAGAAGCTTCTTTAGCACATAAAGTTAATCTTTTTTTGCACATTGTTTAAATTCAAGTATGCATACGCTTCTCAAAATGTAAACAAAAATTTAAAAGGCCTTTTTTATGCTTAATTATCCTGTTTACTCATGCTTTTTTCCAACATGACAACTTCCACAAGGACCACATATACAGAAGTCTTCGCTCTGCAGAAATCTCTGCGGTTTTTAAGAACAGTAAATAGATAGATTTGCCTCTGTAGCCTTGAATTTTGAGTTTCAATCCTCTGAGTACCTCAAATCTCCCCCAGTGAGGGATGGAGACAAGCATCCCATCCCTGTTTGGATCAGTAGATACTGACAACTACAGGATAAATTAAAAGTTAAAATAAAACTTTGATACTGTTTTCAGTTTTACGTAGTTTATGTTTCGTTTGACTTTCATTAACATTCTGAAGCTTTTGTATATAAATAACTTCCACAGCTTCATTTTTATCTCTACATGTACGTTTTAGAGGTCACTGTAGAGGCATTTTTATCAGCTTTTATCCAGTGTGTCTACTACTGATAGAGGACTTACAGTTCTCTTTCAAATCATCTCACAGATATTGCAAAAATAAAGTCTAATGAAACTTAGTTTACTTGTTAAATGTGTTTTTACAGAGTTGCAAAAACACAAGAGGCTAAAATAAGTTTGTGTGCTTTGGTCTCTTCCTAGCCTCGTGGGACCATCCTGATCTCGCGAGCTTTCAAGATTTCACTCGCAGATCAGTCTGGAGACTCTCCGTTAAAGAAAATTTGGAGCCGTTCACCAAACGAACGTCCAATCAGCGTTGGCTTTGAGGCGGGTTGAGGTGTGACGCAACGAGAAGCGCGACAGTTCAGTCTAAAGAACATGGCGGCTTCAGCCGATGAAACTAGCGTTAGCGTGGCTATCGAGCAAGTTTTATTGGAATTCCAGAGTATTTCTTCACTGAAAGAAGAGCAAAACACTGCTCTGGAGGCTTTTCTCAGAGGAAAAGATGTTTTGCTTTTCTCCCGACTGGTTTTGGCAAGAGTTTGATCTATCAATTGGCTCCTCTTCGTCGTCGCTCTGTTACGTCATATGCTTCGTTGATCTGATTGGTTTATTTGGCCCGTCTATCACCAACATAGGCCAATCAGCTAACCAGTATTTTCGCCCCTTCCCAAAATTACTTCAACGGAAGGTTTCCAGATGGATATGCGGAGCAAATCCATCTGGCGGAGTCAGGTTAGTCTCTTCCACCTGCATCCAAGAAGGGACATTCTGGGCCTTTTGGTTCTTTTCATCTTAAACTCTTCTTCTTAAATGCTTTGCAAGCCTACACCATAATTAAGTATCTGTTGTTTGTTTTTGTTTTTTTCTGTAATAGTAGGAAGCGGGCTTTGTTTTCATTTTGGTAAACATCTCAAAGAATTTTTTTGCCCAGTCCTTTTCTCTTATTGCTGAGTCATGAACCTTAGCTACCTGAGGCTATCGAGGCATGCAAACCTTTAGATGTCATTCTGGGTTTTTTTTTAATTACTTTGCAGGTTTCCTATTTCATGATTCCTGATCTGCCTGACATACAGATTTTTAAATTACCTTAAATATTCAGTCCTGTCTTGATGAAAGGCATTAATCAGTACCTGTGAACTTCTGAAATGACTGCTCCTAAATATAAATCAAAGTTTAGACTCTAAACTTTAGAGCATTGATTTTCAGACCTTTTCAGAGGTAGATGAGATCTTAGGGAAAGCTCGGTTTCACATCAAAGGAACGCTGATCAACCATTTCCCAAAATTAAGGAAATCAAGGCTGATAAATCTGTGTATTCCTACTTTTTTTAGTCGGTCAAAAAGTCCTGGGAAGGTTCCCCCTGAGTCGTAAAGCTTTAGAAATAATTTTGTTAACTCTCCCAGACTAATTTTAGCACATATTTCACATATTCTCTTGAATTTCTTCAGATATTGGTGGGATTTGCTCTTTTTTGACATATTATTTCCTACTTCATGTTGTCAGACGGGTTCTGTTTGGATTCTGTAATAATCAGGACTGGGTTTGGGTAGTGAAACTGAACCAAATATGTCTAATTAATCATAGACAAAGATTGTTAAACACTTTTTTCAGGTGAGGTCAGGCTGGTTTGGATAAGTTTTCTTCCCTTACTTTTGATGTTTGAGACATTCTTGTGTGAAAAAAAAGACAAAAGTAGGAAATATCTGTAAACTGTACTATTTCAGAGTACTGTGTGTATTTAGGTTTTTTTTTTGTTATCAACAGTATCACCGATGGCATTATTCAAGATTTCCTCTGAAAGGATCCACATTATAATTTGGGGAAATTTTGTATAAATTGGTAAGAAAAAAGTTTAAGCCTATTCCTATTTCTAATTTGAGAAAAACAAATGAAACAAAACAAAAAAAAAACAAGTAAAAGGACCTGAAAAGTGTCTGTATGCATGCATATACTCATACATTTGGATGTTGGTAAGCAATAACTTGTAATCGCTATGAGCAGTACAGGTATGTTGGCTTTGCAGTAATAATAGGTGGTAAACGACCAGGACTAACAAGAGCAGATGTCAGCAGCATTAAGCATTCATCTTTTCTTTACAGCTAATTATTAAGTCAAAAGCATATCAGTCAAACCCAAACGAGAGAAATATCCATCTCCACAAGTGGCTCATGAGGCTTTGCTAAGACTGTATGTTTTTTTTTTCTGCATGTAACACTTTGTTTAAATGTTTTGAGTAAATAGGAATGGTGAAAAAAAAATCTATTAGTGCTGATTGTTTTAACGAATGACATCGCTGCTGCAATCTGACTGTTACTCTTCAAACGTATCACACAAAATCTGATTGGTTAATTTTTTTTCCTCCTGTTTGTGTCTTCGGGGGCCACAGAAAGTCCTCCAAGGATCCCCACGACGGCGTGCGCTCACAGCTCCTCGCTCTCCAGGGTGGACTCTGGAGGCGAGCTGGCGAACAGGATGGGGCTGGTGTCTGACGTGGAAAAAGCCGACTTAATGTCGAGCCCCTGGCCTGTCAGAGCGGCGTAGCGGCTGCTCGTTCGTGGAGCTTTCCTCATTGGTGCTGGGATACTCTGATGCCACTGAGCTGAAGATGCAGCAGCAAGCTGGTATTACTACACAGACAGAGCGGATATCTGCAGAAACCTGACAGCTACACAGAGTATTTACCATAGATATCAAGTCTGCAGGTGCAAGATACAACTCCAGCATCATTTTTTGCTGACACTGTGTACCAGCCGGCATCATCCTTTGTTGTTGGATGAATAAGAAGACACACATATCCTGTGGTATCCTGGTTCATGCTGAAAATCAGACAGAAAAAAAATTAGACTTATTTCTAGTTAGATTTTTTTTATGACCTTTTGAAGGTAAAATTATAGACAGGAAACGAGACACTGAAGAAGAATGGAAATAAAATATTAACATTATCTTAAAGGGATGGCTCAGTTATTCTAGTGGAGGGTTGTGTTGATTAGTAGAAAGATGTCAGTATGTTACCTGCAGTAGACAGTGGTCAGAATGATCTCAGATTGAAAAAAATGAGAGATAAATTTAAATGGAAAAAAATGAATGGTCCTTTAAAAAGCCAAAAAAAAGTAGCCTGATAAACCAGACTAAATGTGAGATTAAATGTGTAATTTAGTCTGGCTTCGATGAATGAAAGACATCGGAAGATTGTTGATGAGAACAACCGGTTGTTTTTCAAACCATGTCTGTGCATATTG